TAAGATGGAGGCAGGACTGATTGGAGCCATGGTGCTGCTGAGGCACGTGGTACCGTTCATGTCAGACACAACCATCATGGACAACCTCAAGGTATACAGCATTCAGGTCGTTTGTTTGACAGCCATAAACTGCAATGGGGATTGGGAGGTTCTCAGCATTTTTTGCTTCAAAATGAAATTCACAGTGTACATTACCAGGGACTCGAAATACTGGGTGCATGTACACCTTAGTGCACCCAAATTTGGAGCTGTGCACCCAAATTTTTTTGTGGGTACAGTACACCAGTGCACTCAAATATTTTTGTAGGTTTACGTATGTAAAGATGTTAAATGTATAGTAGTATACAGCATATTCTTGATATCTAAGGGTCAAAAAAATAAAAATAATTGTTATAGTACATTTATTTAGAAACGAAACATAATTAATTTTGCTGACATTCTACTTACATGGTGCACCCAAAAAAATTTAGTGCACTCAATTTTTTAGGTTGGGTGCACCAGTTCACCTATTACCCAAGATGAATTTTGATCCCTGAATTTACCTGTACAGATGTTGGAGCGGGATATCCTGAAGCCCCTGATCATGCTGGTGTCCAACCCGTGTGTGACGTTCCCCGGCAGCGGGCAGGCTCGCGCCGTGGTCTGCTACAAACTGGTGGACGCCATGGTGCTCATCACCCTGCGCATCGGCCGGGAGATGGCGCGGGAAGAACTCAACAACCTGCTCCGACAGTTCTTCTCATGTTTTGACCTCGTCCACGGGGAAGGGAATATGGTGGAAGGTAAGGAGAGATTCGTTCTTCTCCACTGTATTATACAGGTTTGCTTTTTTTTTTTACTTTTTACTTTCTGGGTACAGAAATATTGTTTTGGGTAGCTGAGCTGTGGGTTTGTGTCTCTGCTTGTCCAGACAGAGTAGGTTGACAGCACATGGGGAAAGAGTTACAGGTAGATAACCCCATTCCTTTTGTCTTCCATACTGTCTTCCTGCCACTTACAAATCTCAAAAGGTCAGACACGGGAAATGGCTCGGGGAGCCAGCAGGAGTTCAGGAAGACGAGAATTGTAGTAGAGACCCTCCAATACTACCCAGAAGTCTGAAATTTCTGATTTCTTATTTACTCAGAGAACACTGCCACGCCCAAGGCCTCCTCCTTCAGTCTCTCCGACTCCATGGAGTTTGTGGAGATTAAGATGGACGCCAACACAAACACCTACAGGATCGGAACCCCCATCCGTATCAACAGTGTCAGCCCACTGTCATCAGATCCAAGATCCAGGAGCAGCAGAGTTAAACTTAACGCTTCTCCTGTTATGCCCAGTAAGTACTGTAACAGTTACATCCCTAGTCTTCTTCTAGGTTACATGGTTAAGAAATGCAGCACATGTACATTGTGTATTTATAAGTACAGGTGTGGACAATGTGGTACATACAAGAACAGGTGTGTTATAGGCGGTCACTGTCAGTGAATATACATGTAGGTGTGTTATATGCGGTCACTGTCAGTGAATATACATGTAGGTGTGTTATATGCGGTCCGTGAATATAGGTACGTGTTATGCGTGCACAGTGTTGTACAATCATGCAAGTTGATTTTTAAATGATGATGATGTTTTTAATCTATTGTGATGATGTTTGTAAAATGTCAATGCAATTCAGATGTGCCCGAAGTACTCGGCACGTCTGCAATGTTGATATTTAATAAAGATTTGATGAAGTACAGTGGTACATGTGAGTACAGGTGTGCTGTACATGTATGATATAAATAATGTGGTAACATCCGTGTACATAATATCTCACCAGGGTCCATAATATCGCCACCTTGAGAAAATGTGTGCTTAAAGATATTTTTACTGCAACATACCCTAGGTATGTACATTTGAGGTGTGCAGGAGTGCATACCAAAAGTATGTTGCAGTAAAAATATTTTTAAGCACACTTTTTTCTCAAGGTGGCGATATTATGGACCTGGTGATATTATGGACACGGATGTTACATGCTAAGTATGAATCTGCTTCATCATAATTGCAATCCTTTCTGTGCAGATGGTCTGTATGACGGGGAGGTGACCAGTTCCCAGAAGGAGGCTGGTATGGAAGACTTAAGGATAGTGTTCACACCAGCCCTGGCACACGCAGCATTTATTCCTCTCTGTAGACTGACAGGCAGGTAGGGTTGACAGGATGTCTTTTGTCCCAATATCATGATTGACAGTGTGTATATGTGTATGTATGCATTTGAAAATTTTTTGGATGGCTTAGTCATGGTTGTATGTCTTGGTCCCAATTGCTTTCATTGTAGTATGGTGGGTCACGTGGGTGGGAGGTGATTTTTAACAGATGACTCATAGATGGGCAGTATATGGATGAATTCAGGAAGTGGTATAATACCCAATTGAATTACATGACATTCACAGCTCCAATAAATTCACCAAGTCAACGTGAAGGTCCAAAAAAAAAATACATTGTAATCATATAATGTACTTTCCAGAAGTCTGAAACGTCCAGGATTTTGTTGTTTGCTGTGTTTACAATTTATATGTTCACTTTTAAAACCACAGTATCCACATGGAGAGGGTCCTGAAGAATCATGACCTTATATGGAAGCTGTCCAGCACGTACGAGACAGCGCTGTCCACGCACAACCTGGGAGGACAGCAGGGTCCGGACGTGCTGTCCGACAACGACGAGGAGACACCATCCTCGGAGAACAAAACGGCATGGTTTGTGGACATGGGTGCGAAACGTGAGCATTCACCATTACACAGTTCTTTGTTTCTTCACACATCGTTATTGTTACTTTCTTGTTGTTGACGTGGATGTCACTTCTACATTATGTATGTATGTAGAAGGAGAAGAAGGCCTTGATTAGCAACATTGCTTTTGCCCAATTTTTACCTTCGCCAAGAAGGTTATGTTTTCAGAGGCGTTCGTGTATGTGTGTGTGTGTGTGTCTGTAAACACGATAACTCGGGAAGGCCTTGATGGATTGCCTTGATACTTGGTATGTGGGTAGGTCTTGATAAGACCTCAAAATGATTAGATTTTGGACCCCCTAGCGGCTTGTTATGGTACTGCAGCTGAACTTCCGGTTTTGATATCTCATGATCTAGAAATGCTAGGGTGACGAAATTTGGATGGTAGGTAGCTCTTGTGCTGGGGAAGAAGTGACATGAGTTTGGGGCCCCTAGCGGCTTGCTCTGGAACTGCAGGGCTATATGTTTGAAAATATTTCAAAGAGGATAACTCAAGAACCGGTTGACGAATCGTCATGATTTTTGGTACAATGTATATAGGTAGCTTACGTGATGCTTGATATGATTATGTGACAATTATGCAAATATGGATGTAATTTGCATAATTTATGTGGAAATTCTATAAATCAGCTGCATTCCATGATAGGACTATTAAAGCTTGTGACATTGGTAATTCAGAACGAGAGAAACAGACAGATATTGATTATGTAAATGAAGACCTAATTTGCATAATTAATGAGAAAATTTTATAATTATGTAATGATAACTGCCTGGAATTTCATACTTGTGGTATTTGAAAGTTAAGTGAAGGTGAACACCATTAAACATAATGTATTCAAATCAGGACTTCATTTGCATAATTTATAAGGAAATGCTAGAATGGCATTGTTTGCTAATATAAGTCTTTAGGTTGAGAATATGATGAAAATGATATAATTCATGAAAATTAGGATCCTATTTGTTAAATCAGTCAGTCATTTGTCAGTCATAAAGATTAACATCATTTGCCGAAGGTATGAGATCGGGGAACTCTAGTTGGGAAGTAAATTTGAATAAAATGAAATTTACAAAAAGACCCCTTGCCACTATCAGAGAAGTGGCAACATGCAGCCCCTGACAGTAAGAGATTGTGTAACTCAGACTAGGTTTAACAGTGCAGGAAGATTTTATCATTTTGTAGACTGTCCATTTCAATAGATTGTCCTCTCTAACAAAACTCTGAACCACTCCCATTTCTTAAACTAATGTGAATACCCTTGTCCTTAACAGCTAGTTCCCAGGAGAGGAGTGAGGACCTGCAGGGTTTCGGCTATAATGTCCAGATGGTCGGCAACAGGATTGAGCTGAAGTCTGACCCCGCTCCGCAGCCCGCAGCTGTCGTGCCCAAACCCGCCATCCAGCTGAAACACTTTGCGGAGGGGCCGCCCGTCATGGACGAGACCATCTGTCCGAGTCGCGTGGACCTGCCCAGGAGTGACCGCCACCTGAGGGGCAACTGGCAGGCCTACTGGGACTATGAAATAGGTGAAATAACCTTCTCTCTACTACCTAACCTAAGAAATTTGTTGCCAAACAGCTACCTTCGCATGCTGGAGGTTAAAAGAGCTCAGTAGTTTTTAGGATGATTTTCATAGTGAATGCCTGCCACATTGCATGACATCATGTTCAAGTTTTGCCCATAACAGGAAGTGTGTATAATATGTAATTTGTAATTGAATATTATTAATAGTACATGTATTGTCAAGTACATGTATACCCAGAAATTGTTGTTTTTTTGTTGTCATAAACACTTCAAATCTTATGATCTGATCCAAGAGCTGTTCAATCTAATAAAGAGAAACAGCTGCTCAAGTCTTTATACCCCCTATTTCCCTTGTTTGGATTCTGCCATCCCCTTATGTCACCATAGTTTCTGTCCACCACAGTTCTGCTGACAGTTACACCGCTCCAAATGGTCATGATATTTGATATAGAACACAAACATGTTTCTCATGCTGACTGTATGCTTGAGTATTCCATTTTAGGGGTTTAACATCTTGCATTCCTTTGGGAATATTGGCCCTTCTAAATTCCACCTTCCATGCAGAGTTTTCTGCATGTAGAAGAATATCTTACTGTTACAGCTACAATAGTTGTGGTACTTAATTTTTGATCATGTTTGCACCTAGTTCTAAGATTACTTTGCGTTCTGTCTTTGATTCAGGGCTGGGAGAAAGAGACAATGTGTTTCACTTCAATCAAATCAAGTTACAGACATTTCATGGTAAGAAATAAGTTATATTACATATGTCCATTCTTATAGTAGCCACCATGTTGGTAAGATTTATTACTTCCTGCAGGTTCCTGGTATGGGAGTGTTGTTTTGTGTGGGTGAGTCATGGGTTTGTGTCTCCGCCTGTCCTAATTGCTTCAGTTGCATGGTGGGTGGGAGGTGATTTTGACAGTTGATTGATAGTGGTCAAGCCTGAAGGTGACCCTGCACATGTCAGGTGGAGGAATTCAGGAAGTGGTGTAATATCATACAGTCCCCTCCACAGTTCCAGTGCATTTATAAAACCCAAAACACCTTGAGATCTTGAAGGTCACAAAACCCAAAATACTTTACAGAAATAGGAAATCTCTAATTTCTTGTTTTGGTTTTATTAAAAGAATTATAGTGGAAGTAGCTTGCTTCTGTTTAACAATTCTACATTTGGTTATTCCTCAGGACACAGTAACAGTGTCAGGTCCCTTCACATCATGGACATGGAGAATGCCTTCATGAGCGCAAGCAAGGACAAAACGGTCAAGTTGTGGTCCATCCGTAACCATGGTGATGGCTACAGCAGGACGGGGTGTCGGTGGACGTACACACAGCACAGGAAGAGTGTGTTCCATGTGGGCATGGTGGAGGCTCTCCGACTGGCAGCATCCTGTGATAGTAATGTTCATGTAAAGACCACTAGTATATACTTGCATACTTGCATACTCTTTTTTTTACGTTACGAAGCATGATGACGTCAGGAGTGCATCAAATGTGCTTGAAGTTTAGAACGATAAGTAGAAGTGTGTTTCTTTTATATTAAACATGAAGTCTCATTTTATTTCCCCTAGCTGTGGGACCCTTTTGTAGGAGCGATGGTACGAGTGTTTGACTGCTCCAGGAACCCCATCAGTGTCCTGTCCTGTCTCCCCCCTCCCCACACAGCCATGATAGCTGCTACAGCAGAGGCTACACTCAGGTAAATAACATCATGTTTCACATCTTTGATATAATTGATGAACATGTGTAAGTTTGCTATGAAATACAGATTGATTACGAGAACTTCTTAAATGTGTCACACAAAAGGAATAAGCTTTCAAAAACTTGATCGTCTGTTCATTGATACTTTTTTATGTTTTATAGCCCCCCCCATCATTATTTGCTTTATCCATCTTGCTTCCATATTTCACAGATTTATTGATGGCAGAACAGCCAACTTTCAGCATGAATTCCGAGTCACAGGAGGACAGTCAAGTGAGTGTGCACAAATCTAGATGGCCTGTACATGCACTTTGCTTTTGGCATTTGGCTCTGCTTTAATGTTATCAATATCATCATATGATTTCGATGGTGGTGGTGGTGATACAATTTCAGTGGTAATATAAATTCAGAAGTAGTTGTTGTCATACATCTGTTTCTGTTTTTTATGATTGTTGTCCACAGTGGGTCTGATCCGGTGCCTGTGTGTGAGTCCATCAGGCACGTGGGTAGCCGTGGGTTTCTCCTCGGGCGTTGTGTCTGCCCTGGACATCAGGACAGGCACCATCATCAAGATGTGGCGTGCACACGAGGGAGAGATCCTACAGGTAGTGGACAGGAATTTTTAAAAGATGTTTTCTGGTTTTTATCTCAGGGTTAAGAGGTATAGTTTTGGGTGTTTTGCTTGTGTGTTCATAGATGATTGAATGTAGTAGAGTGGCAGGAGGGGGATTTTAAACTGCAAATTGACCTTGCAATATGATATTTTCTGTAATAAAATCCGTGTTTTACTTCAAGCATTGTGATGACATTTTTCTGTCTTGGACTATATAGTAGCTATTATGATGAGAGAGATCTTTAGAGCTTCAAGACTGTATACATGTACATGTATGTCTTTAATATCTCTGTTAAGAAGGCTTTTCAACCCATCCATTTTTCTCCACAGATGAAACCCTATGACAACAACAGCTTCATCTCCTCCTCAGTGGACCACAATATTGTTCTTTGGCGAGGATTTGATGGCAAAGCCACATGCTTGTTTAAAGGTAATGCATTCTGTTTACAGAAAGCTTTGTTTTGGCAAAGGTGTTTTTTTCTTTTCCACTCCTTCACATTCTTCAATACCTATTCAAAGAGTTATACCAGCTGTGCAGATACAGTATAGCGATATTCTGTATCTGATACAGAAATAAGGGAGGTACAGACAAAGAGGTAGGGAGAAAGACACAGTTTCCATAGACAGTTTCCATAGACAGTTTCCATGTGGACTTAAACACAGACAGTGTTGCTTCATCCCCATGAAAGAATCCCCATACACTGATGATACAATTTATCTACAAACATTGTACATGTTACTGAGGGCTTATATAAGTAAATCTGTAATATCTTCTTACAATTAAATGGGTTTCAATATGTTTTCTGACCTGAGTTGCACTGTTGTTCCCCAGGCCACAGTGAGCCAGCACATGCTCTGTGTCTGTACAACAACCAGGTGATTTCTGCCACAGCCTCCAACAAGATTGGCATTCACAGTGCCTTGAACAGTAAGGTAAGGTTCAACAAGATCTTTTAGTGGTATTGAATGACACTGTAATAGTTCCTGATTGTATTCAACCATGATAAGTATTACATGTAGACATTTGTACAAAATATACACCCTTCTGATGTTAGGGAACATCAAATCATACCTTCTCCATTTCTGTCACTAACTTCATTCAGATCAGTGAGAGAGCTACCAGCTGATCCAATTAATTTCGGGTAATCACATCGCAGTGAACATGGGAGCCAGTTCAGAACCTGGCACCACACCTCATGAAAAACTTATTTCTCATCAATAAGAAGCAAACAAAACAAATATCTGATAACTTGTGATTGTATGCAATCATGATGATTACACACTCTATTTCTCAAAAGAACATTTTTAGAGAGTTCTGGTATGAGATGCACTTGTATCTTAAATCCAAGATGTTATGTCTTTTTGCAGGCCTCCTTCACTCTGACCAAACTCCGCTCAGACGCCTTCAAGGGCATGATGACAGCAGCCGCCGTGCTTCCTCTCAACCGACTTCTTCTCCTTGCCTCCGACAGCGGCAGTATTCGCCTACTTGCATAGGGGAACTAGCACAATATCCATTCCATTTAGAAATATCCAAGCTGTTGTTAATGTCCAGGCAGATCTTTTGGTAGCCTAAAGGCAATATTAAACATCGAAAATTCATTTTTTAACCTTAAGGGCTGTGAGCTTTTATAACTACATTTTCTAGACATTTACACATATAAAAGCTGTTAGGTAGGGAAAGAGAGGGTAACTTGGCATCTTGCATATTATTGAATTATAAACTGTGCATTAATAAGATTGATGTAACAAAATTATCAAAATATGACAATGATATAAGTGCAACAGACAACATTATCAGAAACAACATAAACAGTGTTTGAATAGGTAGTTATCTAGGCTATTTACATTAATGTTTTTCTTCAAGATACAGTTTTTCTAGCATGACTTTCAGGTGCATTACATCCCCTTTCCATTAGAGGCAGTGGGCACTGAGTGACCAAAAATTTGACATCGCTCAACAAATTTCATACATAAAAACATTGTCATCATGTGTGTTTTGTTGTCAGGGACTCTTTTAAATCATATTTAAACATTGTGTATCATATTTCAGTCATAAGATCAAGAGATACACAAATCCAACTTTGGTCACTCAGCAATTACTGTCTAGTGGAAACTGGTTCTTAGTCATCAGCAGTATAACGTTACATACCTACAACCTAGCAATGTGCATTCTGAATGGAGAAGTTACAGGTGTGTTAGTACATGTTTTGATAGTGACCAAAACAAAGTTTATTGCATAACCCACTGTGATGTTTCAGGTATGCAAGTACATGTACATTAATTAATCCTTGCTTCCAATATAAGAATGAATTTCTACACACTAGTTAGGTTATTGATATAATAGGTTGATTAATCTCCATATCTAGTAATTGTCATAAAATGCCAGTAAATTTACAATTTGGCATGTTATTTGCCTGTCAAGTTACTTTGGCCAGTTCAGTTTTAGTGAAATTTCACATATATGATCAGTCCAACAACAGCTATAAAAACTGATCTGATATGTTTTGATATATCTTTAAGATACATACCAGGCTTTTCAAATGATGCTGTTGTCATGATATTACATGTATATGTGACAAACAAGAGTTGAGAATGCTATGTTATGCTGCAGATCATGTACCTTTAGAGGGTGAAGGTACACAGAGTTTAGTGATAAAGTAATTAATGTCAGGCAATGCAATCTGATTCATGTGCAACAAAGTCAAACTATTTGCTTGTACGTGTAGTTTAATTGGAATTTGGCAGTGCCAAATATATACGATCATGTGCTGCTGGAAATAGAATGCAAAACAAAAAAATGCAATTGTTTTAAGCAAATGTTTTGTTATGTTTAATTCTAGATGAAAGAAATCATGGCAAGTTTGTGTCAAACTGTCAGTTGATCGGTGCTGAATGCTACATTATGTATTTATCTGTGTCAAACAGGAGACCTTGTGTATCTGTGGAAAAAGGTATTCGGTGAACAATATTACAGAGAATAAATTATGAAATGGGTCGGTATGGCTTTTTACATTCCATTTGTAGATAGGTTTGTTTGTTTGTAGACAGCATAACAAATTATGATAGTTTCCATTCTAGCACTTGCTAATGAGGCAAGAATCGTTTGATATGAGATTGTAGAATTAATTTGTTTAGCTCATTAGACTAGAAGCATGACACTTCTATTTGAAGCAAGAACAACGACGCACTGTTCAT